TGTGATAATATCTAAATTATATGATTTTAAAAGAATTAAGGTTTTTTGAGCTTTGGCTCTGTTGTTTAGGCCTTTTACATTAAGAGTTGTGATTGTGATTTTCTTCATAATGAGATACAATTGTTTTTGGGGTGTTATTATTGAGGGTGTTATGATCTAGTAAGAAGAGGAGCCAGGTCCAGTAGTTGCTACCTCTGTTATTTTAGTAACATTTTTCTTTATTTCTTTCTTATTTTTCCTTTTCCTGTTCTTCTGTATATCATTTGTTACAGATTCACTTTCTGGTTCCAAAGATTCTGAGTTAGAAGATGGGATGTTTGTTTTTTGATTCAGATCTAAGGGATTATCTTTTGCTTTTTCAGCAGGGCAATTTTGTTTTGAAAGGTTTTCTTCTTCAGCAACCATTTCCATTGCAGAAGTAGCATCTTTCTCTTTTGGGATTGTAGGTTGTGAGTTAGGTTCAGCCTGAACTTGAGTGTAAGGGTTGTTAGGACTAAGTTCTGGCTAGGTTTCATAACTGGTTTGATTCTTTTCTTTTTGTAGTCTTAATTCTTTGTAGTATGACCAGATTGCAATTACATTTTTTAGCTCCTCACATTCTTTTTTTACATGACCTTCTTTTTTACAATAGTAGCATATTTTTGGAGCTTCCCTCCATTCAGTGCTGACTTTGTAATCACCAACATAAGTAGTTCTTGGTAGTCTTTGTGGAAGATCTGGATCTTCAGTTATTTCGAAAGAAAAATCCACTGGTCAGAGCAGACTGAATTACCTTCAAAGAGTAGAGACTTGACAGAGAAGATAGTTCCAAAATCTTAGAAGGTTTCTAAAAGAAGCTTGTTGGTCAGGTCTTTGTTTTCTAGTAGTGTATTTTTGACCTTGACTGATAGGAAGCTTCTTTTTAGGTTAATAGGAATGTAACCAAAGATCATTTGTTTAAAAATATTGATTCCTTCTGTTGCGTAATATTGCTGCTGCATTTCATTTTGAAGACTACTTCTAGGTAGGCTTTTTTTCCCCTGCTAAAATGTGGTTTGGCAGCTAGAAGGTCTTCACCAAGAGAATTTGCTAAAGAGAGAATGATATCATTTGTAGATATGTTATTAAGGTTTTGGATATCAAAGACTAGTGCATTTTTATTTTTGGAGAGAATCTTATTTTTTGGAGTCTCTTGTTTGTATGTAGCCTTGCCACCTCTGAGTTTGGTAAACAGGTCTAGCTAGCATTTTGGTTTGGGTTGTTCTTGGTTGTTAGCCTCTGAGTTATGTGTAATATCTGGTGGCTTAGATTTTGGTACATTTTTATCATTTGTAATGATTGGATCGCCCACATGACTTTTGTTTACATCATACTTCACATGTTGTTTTGTTGTTTCTTTTACAGAAGAGGAGCTAGAACTTTTGTTGCTTTCATTTGAAGAAACTTCTGTATAGACAGTTTGCTTAGATTTACCCTTGTCGAAGATTTCTACTTCTACTTTGTCTGCTCAGTTATTATTATTCTTTTGCTCTAAGTTAGAGATATTTTTGTTGCTTGAGGAGCTTAGTAGGTTTTCTTTATCTTCTTCTTTTGGGTACGAAGAGAGATCTAAAATTTTTTTGTTGTTCGAGAGCTTAGTTCTCTTGTTTTTAGAGGCACCTATAGTACTCATTGGTAGTTTTCTTTTCCTAACTTTGAGAGCTTTAGCCCTGTTAGTATCTAAAAAAAATTTTCTGTCTGTTTTTTTGTTATTTTGTTATATTCAATCCCTCAACTGAGGGGAACAGGAGAGAGTTTTTATTTTTTTTTTTTCTTATTAAACTTTTTGTATTCCTCTGCCTTGCTTTTTCTAGTATCTTTTTCTATTTTTTCTAAGTACTCTTTGTTAAATGTTACCTGTAGTGTATTATCTTTTTTCTGTATGAAGCTTGAGATGTTGTGTACTTCTCTTAAAGAAGTTCTTTGTTTTTGATCACTTCTTCTTAGTTTGAAGCCGTTATCGTATACTCTTGATTGGCTGCCTTCCTAGAGAATATTCTCACTATCTTTTTTTCAGATTTCAACTTCAAATAACTTCTTTTCTTTTCTAATAATACGTCCAAACTTGCTTTCCTTGTTTCCTTTCCTTTTATAAGGACTCATTCTTTTTTCCTCTTATCACATAAGATTTTCTTTTCTGTTTCTTGTATCTAGAAGCCTTTTTTCCCTCTGTAATCTTCTTTTACTTCTCTTGATTTCTGGTTTTCTAGTATTTCCTCTTCTAATATCTTAAACCACTTTGCTTTTTTACCTATATGTCTTTTTCCCTCTTTTATTTACTTAAATAGATAATGACTAAAGTTATATATGTAACTATTATACACTTTTTATATAATTACAAACAGTAGAGATTTTTAATATATAATTCTATTTGCAACTCTAATAAAATTCTTTCAGCAATATAAGTTATTTTTAACAACAAAAAAAAAAAATTAATTAGATACTACTTTATTAATTTATACAATTAAAAATTATACTATTTAATTTGTTATTATTTGAAATAAAATTATATAAAATACTTATTTATTATTTTTTATTTATATATAATATATTATCCCTTAAATTATATTGCAGCCAAATTTGTCTACAACTTTTAAAAATAATTTTTAATATCAGATAAAAATTTTTTTTTTTTTTTTGTTTTTAAGATGGTTTATATTGCCAGGCGATTTTTATTAATTTGATATGCAAAGTCCCACATGGGGTTCTCCTACAGTTTTTCAGTTATATGAAGAGTGTACAACAAGCCACATGTACAACTTTAGTCATTGTCTAATTTAAGTAGTCCGCTATGCAGGCGTTAGA